CTTATCTCCAAGATGCCCAGAGGAATCTGAATGAACAGGCCTTGCTGTTTCCCTCAATTTACTACACTTACCTCATATCCTTTTTTGTCCTGTCCAATTTTTCCACCACTTTCCACTTTGCATCAAACCTAGTGTAAAAATACTCAGGTTTAACTGCTTCTTAAGGTCTTCATTTCCTTATTAAGGCTCCTGTGTCACGTAAAACTTATGTTAAATAAATCTGAATACTTTTCTCTTGTTAATTTGTCTTCTTGTTAGACGGACCCCAGCCAAGAATTTAGAGAGGTAGAGGAAAAAGGTATTTTTCCTCCCCTACACCAACTTCCACTCTGCTAACTTCTGACTCAGTGCTAGATACATTGAAACAGCCTTACCTAGACTGCTTAAGCAGCTCCCATCAATGCATAAGCCGTGTAATAAATCCACTATTCTATATCAGTCATAGTGATTCTACTCTGATCAAACTCTCACAGGTATGCCGTAGTATTTTTTTGAATAGTGTTTGGACATTGTATTTTTGTAAGAAATGAGGGTAGGTGAAATCTCTTTTCTAGTATCTGGTTTTTATTGTGTCATAAAATTTGTCTTATTTAATAAGAAGAATCAAAGTCACTAACGTTGCAGATCAGAGAGCAGGGGGCTCTCCCCATTTCACAGGAATATTTCCTTCATAGGAAATATGAGTTCCTAGTCATGGTAGCTTGTAGGTTGTAGACCTGTCGTGTGAACCCAGTCTTCTGAAAGAAGTGCATAAAAGCCAATTCTACACATGCCTCACAAGTAGAATATATAAGCGTCAATCAGATCAAATTCAGAAAATACGGCATTGTGAAGGTTGCCCAGAGGAGAATCATTCCTCTCAATCCAGAACAGTACTTGCTTATGAAAATAGAGTTTAATTTCTCTATGAAGAATTTTTTAAAGGCTTGGAAGCATTTACCTTCCTTTCTGAAGTGCCAGGGAGTAATTTAGAACCCAAGGACAGCTGCCCTGTCTGGCCTTCAGAGTTATTTCCAGTGTGCTCTCTTCTACCACTAGCCTTGTTTTTTAAACATTAACAACACATATTTCAAAGACTATTATGTGGTACAAAAGACTCATCATGTTAATAATAGTTATCCCTAGTAAACAGATCATTCAAATTTTAATTAGCAAAAAGTATTTGAACTTCTTATTTGAAGAATTTATATATTTTTCCTTTAGAATTCCAGCTTTGTGATTATTTTTTTTTCATTTTAAATCCATTGGAGAATATTTCTCTTCCTAGATATGCCCCATGATACCAGTCACCCCAGCACATCATCTTTCTCTTTGCACCTGTTATAATTACAATATCTGTTCGTCAACCAGAGTGTTGTATGGCACTTCCTTATATCCAAGCATTTATCTAAAGATATATATAACTCGGCAAATAATATTCTGAGAGTAAAAGTGTGGTAGCCAGCCTCTGAATTGGCCCCCAATGATCCTTGCCTGCTGGTATTCACACCATGATGTGGTCTCTTCCAAAACTTAATAGGGCTGACCTGTGTAACCAAGAGGATTTTGCAGAAATAACAGTGTGTGATTTCCAAGTCTAGGTCATAAGAGGCATTTTGGCTTCTGCTTTGCTCTCTCCTGGATCATTCGCTCTGGGGAAGCCAGTTGCCATATTGTCCGGACACCAGTATTAACTTGAGAGCCAAATGAGTGAGACATCTTGCCAATGGTTCCACCACCCCAGAAAATCTTTCAGATGTCTGCAGCCCCAGCCAATGTCCTTACTGCAACCTCAAGATATACCATAAGCCAGAACCACCTACCTACGCTCTTCCCAAATTCCTGACCTGCAGAAAGTGTGTGGAGTAATAAATATTTATTGTTGTTTAAACCACTTACTTTTGAGGTAATTTATTATCCAGCAATAAACGACCATTAAAAAATATGACAAGTAGTATTTCATCTTATGAACATATTTTATCATTTTTCATTCTAATTTTATTAAATGTATTTATTAATTTTTGAAGTTGGTCATAAAATGTCTGGGTAAAATAAAAATTTTTATAATAAATGTTTGTTTCTTCATAATGTAAGAAATTACTTCAAAATCAAAATGTCAGCAATATTCATTCCTTTAAGCAATGTATAGCGAAAAACTTACTATGTGACATAGATGAACAAGACAGTCCCTTCGTTGGATAAGTTTAAGTTTCTGAGTGAGATGGACAAGTAAACAGATACTTATAATCCAGCGTGTTAACTGCTGTTAATACAGGTGCCCATAGGTACTAAGGGAAGGAAAGCACAATACAGTGAATTTTTCTCAGGAAATCTGAGAATGTTTCTCAATAAAAGGGGGTAGGTCTAGAAGGATGAATTCATCCTTCAAGAAAATTGATGAATGAGTCTCTATAGGTGATACGAATATTTATACAGTGCCTGTGATAAACCAGGTTCTGTTCTAAGCACTTCAAATATATTCACTTATATAAATCTCTTGACAATCTTATTACATAAGTACTATTATTATCCTCACTGTATAGATGATGAAACTGAGGCAAAGACAGGCTAAGTGACTTTCCAATATCACACAACTAGAAAGTTGTAAGATCTGGATTTAATATCAGGGAAATCCAGCACCAACGTTCACATTCTTAACTACTTGACCACACTTTCTGCTCTAAGGGAGGAATAGGGGAGGACAGTATGAGCAAAGGCAGTGAGAAAAGAGTATATGTTTTCCTAGAGAAAGAAAAACAGGGCAGAGCAGTAGGAACTATGGCTGGTAAAGGGGGTGCATGAGCTGAATTACAAGATGAAAATAAAGAGCTAAGCCAAGGACTTGAATTTCATGCCAAGGAATTTGTACTCAGGCAATAGGAAAACTTGATGAAATCTATTTTCTATGAAGATACCTTTGGAGCCATGTCAAAGGGGAGAGACTGGATGAGGGAGACAAGAAGAAATTGCGTTAGTCTGCTCAGAAGAGAATCAAGGTCTGAAGTGTAGTAATGGAGATGGTGGTAATAAGAGGAGGGAGGAAATTTATGAGACATATGAGTGTTAGCTGGCAAAGAGTGTGGTGACTGATCAGGTGTCAAGCAGATTTGAAAGATGACTTGCAGGTTTCTCTTTGCAGGGGATGGATAGATGGTTAGATCATTAATAAATATAGAAAACTGGAGGAAGAGGCCTTACATGTATGTGCTTAATAAACACTTCTTGAAAGGAGAAATGAAGTAGTAGTGAAAGAGAGGCTATTTTTTTCCTTATCAGATGAAATGCCAGTAACATAGGCATTATCCATAGCACCTAATTACAATGGTCCAAGCAAGCTCTACTATAGATTGTGTGTCTTAAGTTTAAGTAATCTAATCTGAAAATCTAGTTGTAGGTAGCTTCTCATTTTATGAAGTAATTAAGAACAAATTCTTTTCAACAGTAATTTTTGTAGTGCACTTATTAAACTATTAACTTTACAAGTATTAGATTTTAATGTAATTCTTAAAATACGTCTATTGTAAAAATTAAGGAACTATATATCATGATCATATTTGGCTCTGAATTTTAAATGAATGAAATTCTAAAAAAGGAAAGAATAGATGAAATATCACAGTCAATAGAGGCTCAAGGGAAATGAAATCTTCGAGAGTAACGTAACCAACTGTTTTTCACTTAAAATTCTAGGTCATAATTTTATATTATAGGCATTTCAATTGTGTATTCTTTTAAGAGCCTCCATTAAATGATATACCAAAAGTAGTGCCTATTTAGAGCAGAAGTTTGTGGCTCTGGATAAATAGGTCTTTTGCTTTGGTTAATACTCTGAAACTTATCTCTGCCTGTTAGATGACGCTCACTTTAGCCCAGCTACCAATGGTACAGCAGGCAAAGTCATCTCAATCATACCTCCATGTCAATAAACCCAAATGATGCAGGTTTATGACTTATTTATACTTGTATTTCTTTTAACATAGACACCTCCTGGCATATATAGTAGGTTCTTGATAAATAATTGCTGAATGAGTAAAATGCCATAATGAGAAGTAGAGAATCCCTGAGTTTATAGAATGCAACTTATAGTATTTATGGTTTCCGGGACTTACTGATTCCACGCCCACTGGAGAAAGAAAGTAGGGAATGGGGGGTGCAAAACTGAACAAGCACATTAGGAGGTTAATGAAATGTTTCTGCTGGTGGTAAAATGTGATAAGCATAAATTTATTCATTTATTCATTTAATATTTATTGAGCACCTGACTGATTCCTTCCTTCAAGGATCTCACAGTCAACAGAGTGTGTCAGATGTGGAAACAGACTAATATAATATAAAAAATATAAAAAAACTTTGAACAAAGAGATGAACAATGTACTCAGAGATTGAACAGGCCATAATGAAAACCTATCTTTCCTCACTTGTGTTATTCCTATTTTCCTCCAAATCCATAAGAACACATGGCCATTCAAGATGTAGTATCTCGTTACAAGTCATTCTGGGAAAATCCTTTTAACACTCTTTATTTTCAGGAACTCAAAATAGGATATTTTGATGGGAGGAGCAAAGAGAACGTCTGGAAAGGAAGCTTGGAGCCAGATGGCAGAAGGACTTAAAAATACTTTACGCGATTTTCCATTTGTTCAAAAGTTTTTTATTTGGTTTGGTTTGGTTTTATACCGCCAAGGGTAAAACCTACAAATCACCCTTTATTAACCGTTGATCAAGTCCCAGTTCCAAAACTAAATATCCACCCAAGCTTTTTAATCAATATCTCTATGAAGCTGTAACATTCAGCCTTTGTTCAGCTCTGCAAATATAGAAATCTATTTCATCTGAAATCAGTGAGTACAACAGATAAAGAAGGAGAAGAAAAAAGCAGAGAAGGGAACTGGAATCCAGTGACCCTCAAGCACATCTGTGGGCTGCTTTAGATCTCACACTAAGGTGAGGTGAAGAGGAACAAAGCCAGAAGTGGAGAGAACATTGTTTCTTTTCACTTAAAAGCCACATTGCACGGATCTTACCTGACAAGTTTCTGTAATCCACTAAGTCAAACATAACAATGGCAACAGCTGACCATGTGATGATCAGAGCAATGACCAGAAGCCAGGCTGCTGGCGAGCTGAATGTGGTCACTATGTCTTCTGTGACCGTCCTCTTCACCACCTTCCCAGGGGACTTGGGCACAGATCCATTTTTGCTGTCAATCACAGTTGTGGTAGTAGATGCATTTCCTAATCAAACATTCAGAAAGGAAAACTACAGCTTAGAAATTCACATCAAATATTGACGACCACAAAAAACACAGACTATATAAGTGTAGACAAGTTATTTATACCATTTTCCATAGTAGAATGCACTTCTTTAGTGGCAGGGCCATACCTCCCCACCCACTACCACTGCCGCATTGTCTCTTCTTCAACATTTACCTTCCACCCTGAAACTCATATGCGCTTATAATCAGCATTCCTCGTCTCCCAAGTTCCATAAATGCCGCCATCAGGCCATAAACCTTGTCATCATGTTGAATTTATTTTTCCTTCTTCCTTGCTACCTTCTATATCCACTACCATCACAGGCAGTGGGTTTTTTGGTCACCTTTTTAACACTTTTTTCTCGTATTTAGGTTCATGTGTCAGTTCTGAATGCAAGTGAAAATATCTCCTCCAGGGGAGAAACATAATCAGTAATGAAATAGTTCAAATGGATGTAATTCCTTCTGGACATCCTGCTTTAACAGCATAACTGACCCTTCTATTGAGGCCATTCATTTTTATTTGCGAGGGGGCACAGAAGATCTAAGAGAATAATGCTGGAAAATCTTATTATATCAGGTAACTTTTTCATTGCTGCTTTCAAGAGTCCACATGTTCCTAAGAGAAAATTCAAAAAATATAAATAATAGCAAAATAGATAAATAGATAAATGGATAGTCCTTTGTAATCTCATCATCCAGAAATAACCACTGTTAACCTGTTCTATTTACACCTACTTTTCTGTACATACATATAAAGATATAAATATGTTTGTTTTTGTTTTTGACAAGTCATCATCACAGTGTCCTTTATGTTATTTACTAGGCAGTATATAATAAAATAAATATCCATGCTCTCTTACCATAGGTATTCCCTAAAATACCACTCAAGTGGCTGCATAGCATGTCATTTCATGGCTGTGTGAAATTTAGCCAAAAAGCAAAGAACATAATAACCTTTATGTCTTTTGAGAATATACGTATGTATTTGAAAATTAGTATACTTTCGAAAATTGTATATGCCAGCAATCTAGGTTTCCTTATCCTTGGCGATAATGGGTATCTCCAGTGTTTAAAATGTCTGCAATCACATTGGAGGAAAATTCTGCTTCATTTGCACCTCTTTGATAACTAGAGATGAGCTTTTTCTATGTTTATTTTTCCTTTGTATTTCTTGTGATTTTTTTGTCCATTTTTCTATAAATGTCTTTTTAGTGGTTTATAAAATTGTGTACACATATACATCCATACATATGATATATGTGTATGGATGTATGTGTGTATGTATATACCTAGATGTATATGTATTTATATATGCATGTGTATATATATGTATGTATGTACACATACATATGATATTAATGCTTTATCTGACCTCTATGTTGCAACTTTATTCTGCAACTGTTTAACTTTTTCTTTTTATGCTATTTTTATGTACAGGATGAACATTCTAAAATAGTATAACTCTTGTTTTTCTCTTATAAGATTTCTACCTTTGTATGGCTAGAAAGCCCCCTTTAATCGAGAATATGCATATCTGATTATTTTGACAACTCTTGACTCATAGGAAGTTAAATTTCGAGGGAACTTAGAGATCATCTGAAATAACTATTTCATGTTACATTTAAGAAGAGTAGAAGTCCAACCAGAAAATCTAAGTGACTTTTATACCATTTTCAATCCCAAATTACATAGAGGTGCAGTAAATAATTGAATACTAAAGAGAAAAAATATCCCTAACAATCCAAATATTTTTGGCAAAATCACAGCTTAACAACATATTTCATATAGTTTAAATACGGGCCACATTGCCTAGAACAATTTAAGAATTACATATCAAGAAAGAGACAATTTGATTACTCATAGTCTAATATGCATAATTAAATATTTTCAGTTTTACTATTTATCATCAAATTAAATTTCCAAAGGAAAAACAAGCAAACTCTAAATTTTCTTTCTAAACATTTTTCACAAAATAAATTTCACCTAACTGGAAAGACTTCTTATAGTTACTTTTGGAATGCACTGAAAAATAATAAAGGTTTTAGTCTTCTAAAACTGAAGGGAATTCTTTGTTCTCCTTGAAGTCCTCACAGGAGAATTAAGTTGCCTCCTTCCCATCTTTCAGCCTCTTGCTCTACCTTCCACAATTCTTCCTTTCAGTTAGGTCTAGCTTTTTCATGGAAACAGTAAGCAAAAAAGTTACACTATGGGTTTCATAGACAAGAGAGATTAGAGTTAACTGCTGGCTCCTCCCTGTATTAGCTGGATGGCTGGAAGGTCACAACTACACCTCACCTCTGAGTGAGAAGCACCTCTATCTGGGGAATGAGGTTGGTAAGCCTCCATTTACAGGCTTATGGTGGTGGAGAAATAACTCATGTCAACTGCTTGGCGTATTTCCTGCTACATGGAATTATTCAATAAATGGTAACACAACAGCTACTAAACTACGTCATCATTATTATCATCACCATCATCATTACTATTACCAACATTTCCACAGCTACTGTTTTGACAACGGCTACAACCACTACTATCATTCTAAGGAAAGGCTAGAAGGCAGGATTCACCTTAGACACAAAGGTCGAGGGACTGACTCTTCAATAAATGTAGGCTTTTATTTCCATTTAATAAGCACACACATTAGGCTAAGATGTTTGCAGGAAACCAAAAAAGGATGCTATGACTCCCTTGATGTCTTTCCTAACCAATTAATTTATTTCTTGTAATACAGAAAGAGAGGGACACATGTTGTAATTTATTCATATTAATTCAGGCTGTTTTGCCCCATTAACAAAATTGAGAGATGATCTATAACAAATAAAGTTATTTTGTTACAGTACAAATGTTATCAGTGTAATTGAATTTTCTAAACTAGAAAGATAAAATTTGAACCTTGAAACAGATGGGTACACAGGGTGCTTAAGTACAAATCCAGTTTATAAGACAATTTTTAGTTGTCGGGGGAAGAAATGAAAATACTGCATGCAAAATTAAGTACTCTAGTTAATCAAATTTTACTCTTTTTATTTGTTTCTTTACCCATAAAATGATACTATCCTCTTTATAAAAACAATGACATAAAATTCTATGACTGCTTAGGGAAAAGAAAATCAAATACATTCAAGTGTACATATTAGTAGGTATTAATAATAACCAAATATAGTGAATACAACTATTTTTTTGATGACAATGGTAAATCTAGGCCCATATTTTTAAATATGAAAAAAGCTGATGAGGAACATCAGTGGTGAAATAATTTAATGAAGATTTTAAAATAACTTTAGGTAGAAATTAACAATAGTGACAATGAATCTTTCTCTTCTGAAAAAGTATGTGAATACATATCCCAAGTTCATGAACTCAATTTAGTTGAAATGATAGCAAGATGGAAAAATACCTTTAAAAAGCAGATGTCACAGACTGTACTTGAGATGGTGCTCAAAGAAGGAAAAATTAGAAAGAACTCATATCATATCCTCCCATTGATTTTTGTGCCCAATTCCCATCACTGCTAATGGCAGTTCTGAAATGGATGAATGATGAGAGTGCTTTGAAATGCGATGTAAGACCCAAGTGGGGCTACAAGTGAAGCAAACCTTTGGAATAACGATTTGCAGGAGAGTAAGTGAATTATAAGTGTTTAGGAGAGGCCCACCTGAGAGTTGATATGTTGCTAATGTCCAGTTTTTTAGCCTCTGGAAGGCTTCCTACCACCACTGTATAGTGAACACTGGAAGAATTGCTTTTGTACTTGAGAATCACTTCAGTGAACTGTGTATTAGAGTATTTCTGTAGACAATATCATACATACCTGCTTGGTATCTTGAAAACCAAAAAATCCGTTTACTGAGATTTGCTACAAATTAGTTGAATCCTGGTCACAATTTTAAAGACAGAAAATTTTTAAAGGAACAAGAATTTCTATATTTCTTTTCTTTTTTTAATCAGAAAAATGAGAAACTATCTAAATTTAGGAATTAATGCAAGATTAGAGTTAAAATATGACTTTTAATATTTTTAAAGGACTGATATGAACATGAATTCCAAATTTTATTTCACCTCATAATCCTGCCAAAACAATTATGGTACAATATTTTAAATAGATGAAAATGATAAAGTTAACGCTAAATGTATTTTTTAAAATTTTTCCTATTTTTTTGTCTTCACATCCTCAAAATTTCTACTTAAGAATTATTCAAGATTCAAAGGCGATGAATATATATTCTGAATATCCAGCTGCAAAACTGCAAGCAATTTGAAAATAATCTGAAGGTTATCCTGCTTAAAGAAAATCATGTGTTGCCTTTGTTATGGAAACACACTAAGTTGTACCTCTCATTTTCCATTCAAATTTACTGCAGAAGCCACACAGAGCCATGAGGAATAAAATTGAGGGGAAATAAATTGCCTTCTCTGACAGCTAGTCAAGATAAACACAAAGAACAGACTGTATAATCTGAGATTATTTAATGTTTGAGAAGCTCTTTGAAGATGATAAGAGCTAGTTATTGATATGGTGGAAAAAATGAGAGGTAAATATTACTGAGCAATTTGACATGGGTGATGCTTCTTGAAAGTTGGCATCTCAGAATTGGAGCAGGCAACTAGGATATGTGACAGTACTTCCCATGACTAATTTTTAATTCCATTCCTTTTGATTTCATACAAATTATTTTGATTGCCAAATAGCCAAAATCAGTTTCAAAAGAAGCAAGGATCTGGCTGAAAGGCCATGTGACTCTGCCCCATAAAGTAAAATGAGGGGCTCTTTATGTAGTGGTTCACAAGACTGGCTTCAACATCAGGTTATGCATCCAAGAACAAATCAGAAGCCTCCTGAAAGAAGTCACTTAACCTCATCATGCTTTATTAATCAGACGAGGAAACTGCAAAGTACGCTTGCCCATTATTATGCCTATGGGACACTGGCAATGCAGTTTCTTCCAGGATGCTCAAGAAAGACACTTATGGGGC